ATGATTTCTACATCGTCAGTCCCTTTTTTCTGCTCTGTTGTCAACATGTACAGTAATGGGAAATCCAGAGTCACAGCGTTAGCCGTTAGCTTCTCCAGCCGATCACACGGTCACCTGGTTTCTGAGCTCCAGTTGTTATAACGAACCTCCTTGTAATAGAGTCGTAACTCTGCCCCCAGGTGGAAGTAAAAAGCCACTACATGTCATTAACACAGGAGAAAAAACAAGTCTTGTTAGTCTGGGCTTTTTATTTATTTATTTTTTCCAAGGCTTTTCACAGAAATGTTTTTGCTTCCAAATAAACTACAGTGTTTATGCTTCCATATTCATTTATTGTTTTGTTTGCAGAGGAGTTCACACCGGAAAGGATCATCTGCTAAAAGCTTTTTGCAGCATGAACAGCAGCAGCAGCAGCAGCCTGTGGAGCTGCATCTGTCCTTCCCATATGTCCTGGAGGAGCTGATCTGGGAGCAGGGTCATCAGACCAACATACAGCAGTGYTACTGCTACTGTGGTGGTCCTGGAGAGTGAGTTACACACTGCTGTCCCTGTATGGCTCCTGCACACACCCTGGCTCTTTACACAAGCTAAAATGTGTCTGTGGTTGGTTGTTTTATTTGCAGATGGTTCCTGAAGATGCTGCAGTGTCACAGATGTCAGCAGTGGTTCCATGAAGACTGTCTCCATTGCCTGCAGATGCCCATGCTCTATGGAGATAGGTGCAAATATAAAATACTTAAATGTTATCATACAATATGTTTTTCAMTGTTCTTAAAAAGGATTCCTGGTTGTCTGCCACTTCCACACAGATTCTGTTCAACTCTAGGCTGTTCCAAAGACATTCATTATTTTAAAGGGGTGGTGTTATGTGTTTTCCAGGCACGTATTTCAGTTTTATTCCACAATYAAGTAAATGTTACCTTCAGTTGTTAAAGYGTATAAATCAACAAWAAATGTGACTTTACATCATAGTYTATCTAAACACCTTGAAATTGGCCTGTGTCTCTACCTCCTACCTTTTCAGACACTCCCACTTCAGCACATCTTCACAATGCTTCAGGGGAGGGGGTGTCTGTGTGATAAAAGCTCAGTTGCAGACTGAGCTCCAGGGAGGAGCTTTCTGTAAATACCCGGAGCTTCGTACCAGGAAGTGTTTAGTTACCTGTTGGAGATGAAAGGAAAGGAGTTTCTGTAATGAGACTTCTTTCAGTTTTTACAGTCATGTTGTTAAAAAATAATAGGAACAGGATTTTTATATTTTTTATTTTATCGGATATCGTACACAGTTTTTATTTCATTTTTATTTTGTGTCACATTAATCTCATCCCACTAAACTCCAGAAAAAAAACAACTATTTAAAAGAGGATTTGTTGACAACGTAGATAAAAAAAAAAAAAAACACCCAAGCACAGAGTGGAGATTTGAATTTCAGCTGAATAAAACGATGAGCTCATATTTATAGCACAGGTTAAAGATTAAAAAACAAAACATAAGCTCTGTTCTTACC